CTTGAGCCCAGGAGTTGGAGTTGCTGTGAGCTGTGATGCCACAGCACTCTACCCAGGGTGACAGCTTGAGGCTCTGTCTCAAAAAACAACAAAAAAAAAAGATGAGTGTCCCCCACTCTGAGAGGCCAAGGTGGGTGGATTGCCTGACTTCACAGGTTCAAGACCAGCCTGAGCAAGTATAAGACCTCATCTCTAAATGGCAGGCACCTGTAGTCCCAGCTATTAGGGAGGTTAACATAAGAAAATTGCTTGAGCCCATGAGTTTGAGGTTGTTGTGAGCTATGATTCCATCGCACTCTACCAAGGGTGACAAAGTGAGACTCTGTCTCAAAAATAAATAAATAAATAAAAATAAAAAGATGAGTGTCCCCTTTAAAATATGTAAGCTGGCTCGGCACCTGTGGCTCAAGTGGCTAGGGCACCAGCCACATATACCTAAGGTGGCGGGTTCAAATCCAGCCCAGGCCCGCCAAACAACAATGACAGCTGCAACCAAAAAATAGCCGGGCATTGTGGCAGGCACCTGTCAACCTAGCTACTTAGGAGGCTGAGGCAGGAGACTCGCTTGAGCCCAGGAGTTGGAGGTTGCTGTGAGCTGTGATGCCACAGCACTCTACCCAGGGGTACAGCTTGAGGCTCTGTCTCAAAAAAAAAAAATATGTAAGCCCTTTTAGAAGACACAATCCCAAGAAGCTGCATGTGCCTTTAAGAAGGCCAGGCATCACCCTGGTCCTCTTCTTTGCCTATTCTCTCCCTGAGAGCTCTCACCCACTCAGAACCTTACTGCCTATAAACAGGTTGACCCCAGACGTATAGCTCGGCCTGAGACCTGTCCTTTGAACTCCTAACCACCTGCTTGGCTCTGCCACTTGGACACCTCACAGACACCTCAAACTTAACATGCCCCAAATCTAACTCCGGTATTTTACTCTCACTCCTCAGCCTCCGCACCCCCTCCCTCATCCACTCATACTGATCTCCATCTCTGAAAAGGTTGGCTGTACTCCTTAGGCAGAGGCCTCAATACTCCCCGACTCTTCTCTCACTCTGTTATCAACTCTGACAGCAGATTCCCTGTTCCATTAGGAACAGATTCAGAGTCTGGCCACATCTCACAGAGGGCCATCTTTATATGAGGGACCACCATCTCCTAGGCAGCTGCAACAGCCTCCTAACAGCTCCTATCCACTCTTGCCCTCCCACCCAGCCAGTTCCCCAGATACGGCTAAAGTGAACCTGTCAAAGGAGAGGACAGAGCATTTCTTTCTTCTTCTTCTTTTTTTTTTTTTGTTTGTTTGAGACAGTCTCAAGTTGTCATGCTGAGTAGAGTGCCATGGCGTCATAGCTCACAGCAACTGCCATTTTGGGGGCTCAAGTGATCTTCTTGCCTTAGTTTTTCTATCTTGGAGAGAAGGGGTCTCCATTTTGCTCAGGCTGGTCTTGAACTCCTGAGCTCAAGCAATCAACCCGCCTTGGTGTCTCAAGAGTGCGAGGATTGGTTCGGCGCCTGTGGCTCAAG